GACATCACATTATCTGACCTTTTCCGCTTGACTCGTACATATACTAGATATTGCAAATAAGGGAAACCATGGGACCTATATTTCTTTGGGCCTGGCTTAAATGAAGAAAATATTTTAAGAAGTATGATGAGAGAGGCTGGGAATGTAGCTTTGTGGTACAGTGCTTGCCTAGCATGCATGAAGCCCTGGGTTCCATTCCTCAGTACCACATAAATAGAAAAGCTGGAAACAGGGCCGTGGCTCCACTGCTAGGCATTGAGCACAATGAAGCTGGGACAGTGCCCAGGCCCTGAGTTCAAGCCCCAGGACTGGCCAAAAACAAGTCATGATGAGACATTAGCTGTGTCAACGGCTTCTGATAGATCAAGTAAGATGAAAACTGTAGATTTACTATTGGGTTTTGCAACTAGAAAAATCTGGTCAAAATTGACAAAGCTTGCAGTAGTGCCTAAAGCCTGATGGAAACAGAGCAAATGGAGAGATGATGTCGTGAGTACGAAAATAATACCTCACTTATTGAGCACTGAATGTCTTCTAAGCACAGGTAATATTTAAGTCCACTAATAACATCTAGTAAACGCATATTTGTCTCTCTCCTGACTCAACTTTTTCTTATTTAATATTTCCTTTCCGTGTCTGATGTACTGTATAATACAGTGATCTTCAGTGAAAGGTCCCTATGGTTACATGATTGTTTCCTTGGGAATGGAAAGAAACAGTAAAACTCAAGTTTTTAAATACAAATAAACAAAACAACAATTAAGCTTTACTGATATTTAATATATGACTACTTCATTCTGGTGTTGTCAGTTGGCTATGTATTAGCTGGTCATGTATCTCATGCTTTTCTGGTGATATTTGTTCATTTTAGCTAAACAACCAGAAAATAGATAAATGACTTAAAAGAGTTTCCTGGGATAAAAGTCTAAATTTATTATAATTCTGAATACTCCTACTCAAGTGCTTCATCTCCTGATATGAAAATAAGTCACTTGTTTTCAGCATTTTGTTATTTCCCTTCCCCTCCCCAAGTTAGAACAAAAAATGTATACACAAGATGGAGGGCACCAGAATCAAATACAGTGAAAACAGGGGCTATACTATGCAGGAAGAACATACCAAAGAAACAAAAAAAAAATTGCATAGTACATTAAAAACAACAGCGACAAAGATAAAACCTCTTGTATACCAATCTTGGGGTTCATTTCACTTAGCATCATCTTATATGGTCATACGTACATAGCTTTTGACCTTTTCTGCTTGTCTGGTAAGATTATCCTATATATATATATACTAGTTATTGCAAATAAGGGAAACCATGGGACCTATGTTTCTTAGGGTCTGGCTTACTTTACATAATACAATTTTTTCCAAGTTGACCCATTGTAACAATGAGATGTACAAGACATTATTGATTCCTTTGGATTGTTTTAGTCTCCATTTTATTAATTTCTGCCCCAATCATTGTTTCTTTCTGCCTGCTAAATTTTGGTTTGGCTGGTTCTTAGTTTTCTAGGAATTTGAGGTGTATCATTAGGCTATTTAAGATCTCAGTTTTTAAA